CCCTTAAAAAGTTGAAACCTTTTCACTGTAACGGCCTCCTTCTCTCCCTTCATACCGCATTCTTTTATTTCTTTGCGTGTTATCGCCACCTGCAGATCAGTGGAACAGAATAAAACTATTCAGCAGGAATGTGCATCGGATCATTCTCATGCATGTACGTTCTTGTGCATATGTGTGAGAACAGACAGACCTATATGCAACGACATCCCTCCACGAGCTTTCACAAACATCACAGGGTGCCTTTACGTACCAGCCCTTTACTCTGAATGCTACTATATCACATACTTCTTCATTGTGTATCAGATCTTGTGATCAACACTTTAAATGGTCACCTGGTATAAAGGCCTGATGTTGACATGTACCGTGTCTCCATTGTAATCTGTGCAGGTGAAGAGGAGCAGGGGTCCATGGCAGAGGTGTCCTACTACTCCTACGAATACGACCAGGACTCGGAGCATTTCCTCGCTGATGCAGATGGGGGAGACCAGTTTGACCTTCCTGACGGGGGGGCGGACGTAGAGCAGAAGGTTCTCCTGCCGGCAGACACCCAGCTACCCACACTGGACACAAAAAACACCCCTGAGCGATGGTAGGAGATGCTCTATTTATTTAAAAAAGAAATGTAATCAGGCTTTCTGGATCTCATGTTTGTCATGTGTTTTGTTTGAATTTGAAAGTGTAACAATGGTGTTATTATTATTGTTTCTTTCTGTCAAAAAAACCTGTAAAAGGCAAATATCTTTCCCTCAACATTTCTACTCTGTCTATAGCCCGATCTCATTATTCCTTCAAACAGTAAATAATAATATCAACAGGTGGTTTTAACAGGTTGATATTGTTCAGTGAAATAATCAGGTTTATCACCAGGTAGGTTGACACGTACGAGGAATTTGACTTGATGTCATGGTGCATATGTAAAAGTAAAAAAACAACAAAAAAAACAGAAAGAGAACTATAATAACTTTTAAAAAATATTATAAATAATAAAAAATAATTTATAAAATATAGAAGTATTTACATAAAAATAGAATGGAATAAAATATGGAATAACATTTGGCAGTAATAAAAAAAAAAGGAATAACAGATAACAGATATTATTACATGGCTTAGTTGAATACTCTATTCTGATTGGTCAATTCAGAACACGTGACACGTTGTTAATCCAGAACAGACAGACCGCTGTCAAGCACTTATTGACCGTTGTTAAGGACGCTCACATCTGCACAAAGAAGTCCGTTCGATTGAACTGTATACAGATCAAGTGTTCAAGTGTCTTAGATGATGTCATAATACAGTTTGTCCTGTTTTCTTTTGGTCCACAGAGACGCTGACTGAGTGAAGCCATACTCGCCTCCAAATTGTACATTATTTGTGAATATGCTAGTGAATGGAAAGAGAAGAGAGACTTGGGACGGGTGCAGCCTGAGAGGAAGAGATAATGGAGTCTGGAGAGTGTGTGTGTGTTTAGGAATGAAGTGTGTGTGGATGCATCTATACATGTGTGTGTGTGGTTGTGTGTGAAAGCTATTAGGATAGTGTCCTCCAGACTGTTGTTGTTCTTCCCGCAGACTCCTGGTCACCAATAGGCACCATAGCATCTTTGTTATTCACTGTATTGCCGTTATAATCACTAGAATAAATAATCAAGTATTTATGTTTGTAATTACACCTGACTTTAAGCAAAAAATATTTTGTTATATTTTCTATCTGTGGTATTTATTTGTAGCTAGATGTCATATCATTTTTATTATATTCTATTGTCAACGCCCCTCCCATACTCTCTGCCCTACATTCAAAAGACATGTGCTGTCAAAGGCTTTTACCTTCTTCCATAGCAAGCTTTAACCCAATTATTGAAATGTTTGATGAAATTCCTGTGCTGGTATCCTGCTGCTGGAAGAAGACATATGCTAACCATATGCTTCACCGAAACATAAGCTCAAATGTTTTTCAGTTTAAAGATTAGTTTGGGCTTCTTGCCTTTTGTCATACAGCGCAGCACAGATCGACACATAACGACAGAGAAGGCGACATGACACAACCCTCTGTGCGACACAAACTGGTCGTACGCAGACACACATCAACATTTACTCTCAAGTCACTCTCTCTTTCTACCTTGAGATTTGATTGTACAGTTCATAAGCTATTTTGTTTTTGTTCCATTTTGATTCGTGAAGCAATCAACTTAAAAAAAGAAATCAAGAATGAAGTTTTGAATCTCTGTAAATTGACCAAATTTGATTAAATGTAGCCCCGATTCATAACAAAAATGTGCTTTTTAAGACAAACGAGAATAAAATTTGTATACAATCCAAAGCTGTGGTTTATTTGAGTTTTTTGTATGAATGTCATGGTAATATAAATAATGTATTTACTCATTATGTGGCACCTGAGTTTATGATATGACTTTAGCACATCGTTACGCACCTATTCCTCCTTTAAAGTGTGCGAGTACTTTGTTTAACTCTGCATATGCAGTGGAAGTATTAATATTTAAATACTATTCTGACATACTTGACTTGGGTATTTCCATTATATGCTGGAATTTCTTCTACTCCACTACATTTCGGGGGCAAATATGGCACCTTTTACTTCAAAACATAATTATAACTTCATAGGTACTTTGTACATACAAACCCATAATGTGCTTATATAACATGATGCAGTGGTGTACTACTAATAAACACAGTATTTGTATTTGAAATTGACAATACAACATTAAAAGATGACATGCTGGTGATAAAAACGGAATAATAGTAATCTTAAGTGCATTTTTTCTAATAATAACAACTCTTAAGACCACAGTTTTCGTAGTTGTACTTAAAGGATCTGGGTACTTGTTCCACCTCTGAGCACATACATGTATTTGATGCACTAGCAGAAATCTGTATGAAAGCTGCGTCGCTCCATTTCCTTTGAAAGGCTAGTTAAGTCTGGAGATGATTTCCTGTCAGCGGTGAGCTGTATTACGGCTGCTTTGATAGCTGACTCTGTGACCCCTGCATGCTTCTGTGTTGGAGACAGAGACGCTGTACATGTGTGTATCAGATCGTACATGTGTGGATCAGATCATACCCACATCTCCAGGTCGATGTGCTCCGAACTAAATGTGTTTTTGTAGCTGCTAACAACAGATTCAGGTTACCAAAGCAGCAGCCAGGAGAGACTTAGAGCCTGTTAAAGTTTAATGTTCGTTTTCTCCACATGTCACTTGTCGACCCTCTCGGTTTTCTGTGGCCTCTGGCTTGATCGGGCCTTTAAATGAGTCCTTCAAATCCCAACTACAAATCATCACTCAGATTAGAGGAGATCAAAGAGGGCTCAACTGTAGCTGCATCTGGGGGATCAGTCTGACCTTAAGGTGAAGGTGAAGAAAGAGGGCTGTATGATGACAATTCAATGAGTGACAATAAAGGTATGGCCTGCTCACAGTGTGCTGCACTTTCATCTGCATCTTATGTGTGTGTTTGAGGGGGAAAAACAGCGTGCATTTTCAAACCAGGAAATATTACAAATACACCCCATACATTCAGCCATAAATGAAGCACAAAATACACAAATGAACCTAAAAAAGAGCATAATAGGACCCCTTTAAAGTGGACCTATCATGCTATATTTTAATAATATAGTGTAGGACCATACCTATATAAGGCATATTTATACTTTTGTTTTTCAAAATACCAAACAGATCATGCATTTTAGCCATGCCTCATTTCGCTCAATTTGACGTCAGGACAGTGTTCAAATCTGGATCAGTTTTTATCAGATCCGTTGCAGCCCCTTTTTTAGAGATTTGGGTATGGAGGAAAATAGAGAGGGTTGTGTTTTCTGACACTTGGTGAGTTCCCTGGAACACCGGGGACACATATTCATGTATAAAAGACGTACAAAAGTGCATTTTGCATGATAGGTCCCCTTTAAGGTCAAATGTAATGCAAAAGTTTGAAGACTATACCCAAGCTGATGCAGGATAGCAGAATACATATTTAATTTAAAGTCTTTTCAGACAATTAATTGTATTTGTATTTAATATTACTATTTATTTGTAGAAGTATTTTATATATTCTTGAGGAATAATTTGATCATATTTGGCTTTTGATGGTGCAAGACCATAGACTGTATATGTGCAAGACGATACTTTTTCTTCTACTTCCATATTTGATTGATAATTTTATGAAATGTGCTGTTTTTTGTTTGTTCTGTTTATGTGGCTATAGTGTGAACATGTGACTGTATGTGCATAGACCCGAGGGAGAATCTCTTATGCTGCTGCTAACAAAGACACAGTCCTGACATGATGCAGTGTAGGATTCACCCCCTCCAGTCTAAAAGTAAAACCTGGTTCCTGTAGTGACCAAACACCAGCAGTGCAGGGGTCCAAATGTCTGCAGCAGTCTCCGTGGCAACTGCATGCATGGCTGAAGAGTGATATTGCGTCTCCACAGTGCGATGAGCAGAAAGGGTGAAAAGGGAGAGGACGAGGGAGAGGAGGGATCTTGGTTTCATGGAGTGCAGGGAGAGCTAGCGTTACATGAGGGTGAATCGGAGTGATGACATTGTTCCTGAGCACCAGCTGAGTGCACCTATACATCACCCTCTGTGGAGGAAGGGCTATTCACCCCAGGTGGACAAAGGGAGGGCAGATAGATAAAACCCTTTCCAGTGGAGAGTCCGCTCTGCTGTTGACACTGATATTTATTAAAGAGCTCAGGTTTCCTCTTTGTTTCAGAGGAAATTAGGGATTGATTGTGGAGGATCCAGGGTTTCACTGTCAGAGAGGCCCCACTCCTGGAGGAACAATACTTAAGATATGTGAAGGTTGACACTCCTCTAATAATATCATTATCTAGTATGCAGCTAGCTTCAGATCTGGCCTAAAAATGGGAATTATCTGTGGCAAGGTGCAAAGAAAAGGGACTTTTTAAGCCAGCTTTGTGACGGACATTCTGTCTGAATGTTTTGGTAGCAGTGCATCCATTGAGGGAACTACAGAGAGACACATGGAGAAGAAATACCCACTAATAGCAGGAAGAGAAAAAGGTAAGTTCATTAATAGAAGCTACTGTTACTGATTATGTGTGTAAAACTGTAGACATATAAGTAGCTATGTTTAATATCATTTGGTATTTGTCTGTCACTTCTACGAAGAGATACATGGAGAAACAATACCCAGTAAAAGCAGCTACTTAAAGGCATGAATATCTATATTCATGATGTGAAGGGGGGACATTGAGTTGAGCAGAGCAGAGGACTTCTCAGTCTGCAGACCTGCCTGGACTCGCTCTTTCTAGGAATTGTTGTTCCACTTTCCCTGCTTGTGCACATGTCACTAAACTTGTAAGCCGATGTAACACTTAGCTCAGGGATGTGTCTCTATGCTGCCTGCATCCTGTTCACTGGCTGTTTATCTGACAAACATACAACGATAAGAGAATGACTCGAAGCAGAATGATGATGCAGGTCATTAGGACTTCTTAACTGAAGTTTATCTAATGTTTTAAATTTGATCAAATTCCATAAATATGCAACTTTTATGGACATATCATTTTTATTTTAAAGTGTATGGGGCTGAAATACACTACTTCTATACGGCACGAAAAGCGGCCGAAGCCCAGATAGTTTTAGGCAAAACGTTTTTCCACTTGAATCTTCTTGACTGCACAATGATGTCATTAATGAACATTGTTATAGTGTGTGTAGGAGGTTCGCTGACGTGTCCCCATGTCTCTGTAGGGCCGGGGCCCGGGCGATACGGGCTCCCTCCCACCATTGGGTTTATGGGCCATGACTTCACCAAGTCCACCAGCCCCGCCTACTCCTTCCATGGCAGGATGAGTGACACCAGTGAGCTTTTAAAATCTCTTTCTCTGACTTTTACATTATCATGTTACATAGCTGCAGAGAAAACGTTCAATATGTGTGTGAATAAATGCTTTTAGTGTCAGTAAGAACATTGATGCCAAAGATATAGATCTTGTCACAAACATTATAATTTTAGAAACAGACATTTGTTTGAGGAGACTTATCTAATGGATGTTATCTTTTTTAAGTTATGACTCAAATACATAACTTTAGCCAAGTCAAAGTAAACATCCTAATTGTTGTAATGTATAATGAGAGCCAGTAGGGGGAGACAAAACCTCACAATTCTATAGTTATTCATCACATAACGGTTATGGGCTGTTCTTTAGACCAATGCATGATACAACTAGGCTGACAGAGTTTATAATATATTCAATGATAAATGTTTTTTGTTTTATTTTGCAGTGTATTGTGTCGACTCAAGTCCAGGGCCGCAGTACCGCGTTGATGCAAAAATCACCCGCTTTGGGAGGGACGGCACGCCTGCTTACTCCATGCTGGGCCGATCCAAGGCACAGAGTAAGTGTTCCTCTTTATCAACGTAAAATAACTTTTATTCTGAATTCACATTGTTTCAAACTCATTTTAGGGCTATGAAATATATTGATATTTTGATTTGAGAAAAGATAATGCCGTAGATTTCTTGTAACATGGCAAAAGTGCAGTGCAGTACAAATGTTTTTTTATTTTATTTTACCACTGTTCTAGCCATTTTATAATGTACCTTAACATCCACATTACTGACTTTTGTTTATCAAAAATGTAAGTGTAAATATTTGATACCAATATCAATATTTAGGTATTCTCTCAAAGAATATAGTGGTCTTTAATTCATGGGTTGTATAATGATGCAGACCAAACTAACTGCTCCATCATTTTTGAAAGGATGAACCCTTGAACAAAGCATTTGTTTTGGACACTGCTCTACAGATCCAGTGTCAGCTGTTCTAACTGTAAATCTGAACCACTCTAATTAAACACACTCCACCATATGTTTGTATTAACAAACCGTTTTTCTGTTCACTAGAGGAGCTTTTCCAGACACCTGGCCCAGGAGCATACAGCCCTGAGAAAACCCCCCCATGCAACCTGCAGCGCAGACCCCCCTCCTACACCATGGGCTCCCGTACTCACTACCGGAGTGTGGACCCAGTACCGGCTCCGAACAAGTACTGTCTCCCTTCTCTCATGGGCCCTCAGGTCCCAAACAAGCAGGCGAGCGCAAGCTACACAATGTCAGGTAGTTACAGCGCAGGGGGGCCGTCAGTGGATCTAGCCCAGACCCCGGGGCCGTGCAGGTACAACAGCACAGACCCCAGTGTGTATCTGCCCAGACAGCCGGCCTTCTCCATGCTGGGACGCCACAGCTTACCTAAAGATGCCACCAAGAAACCCGGACCAGGAACTTATAATCCAGAGAAAGTGACGGTTCACAAGGCCCGGGCCCCTGCCTTCTCCCTGGGCGTCAGACACTCAGAGTTTGTTACTCCCCTGGTTGTCTATGTTTCTGACTGAACGTCTTCAGAGTGAAAGAAACATAACAACGTGATCTGGCAGAAAAATGAGCAAACATATGTGAAGAAGTACATTTAATTTTGTTCTTTCAGCAACAAAGAATGTGTCGAGTCAACCATGACTCACTTTCAACATTTAGAATATCTAGAAATAATATTATGTACATAACAAATATAAGTTTAAAGAACAGGGAAAACAAAGCTTTTAGGATAAAAAGTGGGCTTGAGGAAAAGGAAACCCTATGCCTGTAGGATACTCAGTAAATCATTGTATCGTAACAAAATGACATCAGAAAACATTTTTAAAAAATGTATTAAAATATACAATTGAGCGGCAAACCCCACCTTCATATTTTTTATAAGGTTATCACTCACAGTGGAATCAGGTTGCCTCTCATTACCTCTAAAAATTGAGGAAGTTGGAAAGGACAAAAAAACACAACACAACTAAGGGTTTGTACACGTTACATTAGAACATATGTAGATGTGTTTGTAGGAGACGTATGGTTCAAATACAATACAAATCAGCAAAGATGATAGCAGGCATTTAGAGATGGTTCCCATTTTAATCCTTTGGGAGAGGCCTTCTGAAAAGCAGTATGTGTGGCTCTGGAGAACAAAGCAAAGAAGAAGAATCTGTCAGCATGAGATACTGTACAGTACACAGAGCCATCTTTGGATAGTTCTCATCTTAATGCAGCACTCACATGCCGATGTAAAAAATGTTTAACGATAATTAATGTTTATTGTAATCCTTCCTCTACACCACATGGTCATGAAGAGATCTCATGTGGAAAACGTAGTCCTTAGTATACATGCCCTCTTAAGCCGAGTTAAAATAAGGCATCAGCTTTTCAAATTGGACAAAACAAGGAGGTACTTTCTAAACATACAGTCTTAAATACGAAATCCAATCTATGCACTTCCCTACACTCTTTCATTGCGGAGCTGCAGTGAAACTAAGACAAAGGGTTAGGGTAAAATATATATATAATAATACTGTTAAATTGTTAATATCCATTTTGATTAAACGTATTCAGACTGCCGAAAGTACCATAAAACAATGCATTTGCTTTAGCTGAACATTACAATGGACGGAACAAGGACTGAGGATTTTGACCTCTTGAAGTCACTCGGTTCTAACAACTAACAACTTTATGTCTTGCATTGTTGAAGCTAGGTTGCATTAACTAACTTTTTTTCAATATCATTTTTTAAATTAATTATCTTTCATAATTGCAATAGAGTGGCGAAGTCACGCCCATCTACTTCCGCCCCATGGGACCTTATTTCGGAAAAATAATGCATTGAAGTCAATGGAGAGAGAAAACGTATCTTTCGATCCTGTTTGAATTGTGCCATGAATTACACATATGATGTTTGTCAATCTTAAAAAATAATTTCCATGTCAAAAAAGTCAGTTTGTCGTAAAACTGTTGAAATATAAGACTAGGAAAAATACGTAACTAGAAAGACTACAAATCCCAGAGTCGCGTAAGTGATGTCACAATTGTTTTCCTCCACTAATTATAGCTAAGATCAGCGCCATATAGATATAATCTATCTATATGGCGCTGGCTAAGATAAGATAACTTTAACAAGATGCCTGTGTGCTTAGTACCAGGTTGTTATTATACCAGCAATGGGTCTTGCTCGTTCTTTCGCTTCCCGTCTGATGAAAGGACCAGGAGTGGCTTGATCAAGCTAGCTAGTAGCTAGCACGTTAGTTAGCATTACAGCCTTGTCATTTTGATTAGCCTTAACATGAAGTAACATTAAGTAACCCAACATGTTAAACAGTAAGAGTAGTAGTCATATTTCGTGAACCCTTTGAAGAGTACTGTCACCGGTGTGATCATTCTATAATGGCGCATTTCCACTACACGGTCGGCCTCGGCCACACTCGGTACGGCTTGGCCGCGTTGGGCCTTAACAGGGCCGACTCACTTCATGCTGCGCTTCCATTACAGTTTAGGAACTGGGGTAGTTACTATAGTAACGCAGTGTAGGCGGAGCCGTGACGTCATCTTCAATGAGAACTCCAGAAACACAACACAGCCGTTAGCTGTTAGCACTCAGAGCTCACAGCTCCTTATATATGTTCAGAAACTCGACAAAAGTTAAACAAGTACACACCACAGACTGCCTGTGTCATGGTGAATACAGTCGCTGCTTTATTTATGTCTGTATAGGCCGTTGTTGTGAGTGTGGACGGTCGGGGCATATACTGCGTTAGCTTAGCCAATCTCCATCTAGAAAAACACGAATTTTAAAAAGGTTTTTCGCCTGCCGTCTGTCTGCAGACTTGACAAAGCATTAATTCATGGTTTTTACTAACCGGTATCAGTATGTTGTTACTTCGGCATCATTTTGAAACGTGTATTACAATTAAATCACGGTCAAATATGTCCATCTTGTTGTAGTTCTAGCCCTCTTGCCAGCGCTCCTCTCTCTAGTTTAGCATACTCAGCCCGACTCAGCCCTGTTTGTTGGCCCCGATAGAACCACAATTTTCTAGGGCCAGAAAAGAGGGGAAAAAGTGGCCCCGCGCCGTGCCGCGCCGGAACGAGGCCTAGTGGAAGCACAACCAAAAAAGGGGACGGCACGACACGGCACGCTTAAAGCGAGCTACGCGCTGCAATGGAAATGCGCCATAATACACCATTTAAGCCCGGGGGAGAAATGCTAACGCTGACGCTAGCATCGGCGATCTTCTCTACTTCATGCTATCTGCACAAATGGTTGACATTAAACATTAAAAAGACCAGGCAGTTCAGAGAGAATCAAAGGAAGGCAGGCAGGCAGCTTTGCATGACATTCTTCAGGACGTGTTTCATTGTGGTGATAGTGAGGGTAGTCAATCGTTTTGTTGACAAGACAGTAGTGACGGCCATCTTGGTGACGTGTGTTGTTCTGTGAGACCAGAGATGTAGTTCATTGAGCGTTTTTTTTTACTTGTAAAATTATCTTTTAAATTGACAAACATCATATGTGTAATTCGTGGCACAATTCAAACGGGATCGAAAGATAATCTTTCTCTCTCCATTGACTTCAATACATAATTTTTCCGAAATAAGGTCCCATGGAGGTCCACCGGAAGGGGAGGGACTTCGCCACTCTATTGTACTTAGTCAAGTGTCATGACAATTAAACCTATGGACAGCTTGGCTGATTACAATAAGCAATAGCTTTGTCAATATGCATGTGGGCTTGTGAGCACTGTTTTAAGACAAAACCTGTAGAAATAAAAAACGTTGTTCCCAAATCCCCGTCCCCCCCGTCCCTTACCTGGCTTGTGGATCATGTAGTGAATCCAGCCCTGGCTCTGCTGCACCCCCAGTCCCCTCCACTCGTCTTCTGTCATCAGGTGGGAGGTGGGCACCAGTTTAGACAGCTGCTTTGGAAGCACCACATGTCTGTGGAAAGATAAAGGAACAGTCAGGAATTACCCACTATGGCTCAGAAAACACATTTAAGAACACAGTAAGTCAACTAAACCTTGAGGAAGACAATGTCCAGTACCTTCAATACAAAGACCACCAGTATCAGGGACAGTTTATCCCAAAGGCCCTACTGTTAAACTCCTGAGCTCTTAAGTGCCTTAATAACTGTCAAGCATTCATCTGTTTGCATTTCACATGTTTATTTAGTACTAAAACAAACAGTATTTTATCCTTGTACAGTATTTCATTTTACATTCTGTTTTTATCTCGTGTTATTCAATTTTACATGAATATAGCTTGCTTCTTATGCATTTACCAGTTCACTTCTTACGCATTTACCTGCACATTGGTCATTTGCAACATTCTTCTTGCACTATTTCTTGTTGTTTTATTGTTGGAGAAGCCTGGGACTTCAGAATTGCATTGCCATAACTACACTGTAGCTACTGTATAAATAACAATCAAACCTTTGAATCTATATTAGATAACGTTGTTCAAGGTTCTTTATTGTCAATCTGACATAGCTACAGAGTAATTATGTAGTTGAAAATCTTATGTCACAGGCTTCTCCAACAATGCAACATAATAACAATAAGAGCAATACAAAAAGAAAAATAGTTATAAAATAAAGTGATGATGTGGAATAGTGTAGTACAAGTCTATATAAAAGTTATTGGAATGATATATATATATTAGGTGTTGCTAGAGGCCTCAAAACTAGTCATGTTAAATGTGGTATTTTCTTTTTTTACATTGCAGCGTCAATGACGTCATCTCATAAACATTTTCAAAATAACTTTACGTTGACGTTTACAAGCAGTTAGCAGGCGTGTTAGAGTTCTATTAGCTAATTACTCAACTTAACTTAAAGCTAAGCTAAATACCATACTGACTTAAACGTTATAACCCAAGACAAAATGAAGTTGTCAGCACACGTTAACGTTTAATTGAGCCGTGCTAAGTAAGCTAACCTAACGACGTAACTCAGTTTTAGTTAACGGACGTTTGAAAACAACGTTAGCTAACGACAAACCACACATCTTTAACCATACCTGTACTCGAACTCCTCATCGGTGTACTTGTCAGAATAGTAAATTTGTTTTTTCGACATGTTCAGTTGATGATAGCAGACAAAACTGAAGCCCAAAAAACAGTTTTCAACCGGAGAGAAGACGCTAGGTCACTAAGAAAGTAACTAGTATTTTTTGCGAGCGCAACAAGCTGCTGTCATCTGCCGCTGTTTTCAGGAGACATTCAAACACCAACGGTTCCCCACACTCACCTGATTGGTCAAGGCAGCACCACGTGTACTTCGCATCTAAGAAGATCGCCTATTGAAAGAAAGATGAAGCACTCAGTCACCTTTTAACGAAGAAGCAAAGTTTGATGTTTAATTCCACGTACAATTAATTAAAATGATACATTTTGGCTTGTATGTTACGTTTTGGTTGTGTGGCATATTGTTAAAATCAGCACCAGGTGTTTGGAGGTAAGGTATTTGATGTATTTGAAAATGTTCCTGGTACTTTGCCAGCTATTTTTCTGAGAACGAAAATGGGTTTAACAAGAGCTCTTCGCTGCTTTATTCTCTCGACTAAAAATCGACTGGTACCAGGAAGAAACCGGAAATAACTGTAAAGTCTAAAACAATCTTTCCCCGTGAATTTCAATTGTGCATTACACGCGTTTGATTAGAAGCGTGTGATTTATTTACGGCCTCTATTTTAAAATGTTGTTTTTGGAGTCAAATCATGAGTAAAATACATGAAACTTAATTTTGGGTTCGTTTTTCCGGATACCGCATTGCATGATGGTATATTGTCGACTTTCTCTCACTGAACAAGCAAATAATAATATTTAGACTTAGTACACAAGTGTGTTTTCTATATTACAGTCATGTATTGTATTCATTCTGTATATCTCTTGAATTTGGACATTTCTATTTTTGCACCATCAGTTAGCATGGTATTCCTGTGTAATACTAGCCTGTGTCAGTCGTGTACAAATCATACTTACCTGGCAGGGGAGATACCATGATCATAAAGGTGGTTCTCCTTTGGTGAGGCTCGGCCATTGCACTCCGGCCAAGCTGACCCAGATGAATTTCTCAAATGTAGAAATCTCAACTGCACTATTTGTGGTAGTGGGGGACTGCGTTCGCGCTCTCCCCTGATAAATTGTGAAAGAAAAAGATTGTCCACAACATGGATGCACGATGTATCCCTCATGTGCTACCTCATCCATAATGGTGATGGCGAGATTAAGCCTTATGAAGTTTACCAGCCAATCTAAACTATTTTTCTTTTTAATATTTACTTGCACTATATTTGTCTGTTTATCTGTATTATTGTGTTGCACTGTTGGAGAAGCCTCAGCCTGTGACCTAAGATTTTCATCGACATAACTAAAGAACCTTGAATTGGTTCGCTAAAGGGTTTATCTCATGAGGCTTCATCATGGGCTTCATTTGAACACAAACCCTCCTGTTGGTCAAAGTGTGTAAAACAGGCAGATTTGACATCTCAACAGTGCTCTATCGGTATGAGATAGAGTCTATCTCTATGAGATAGAGTCTATATCATACCGAGTTCCAATGAGTAAAGCCTTAGAATAACTCTAAACAACGAACATACAATCATATTTTCATGTTAACAATATTGTATTTATTCCAGTTTAATGATTGTGATTGAAAAGCCTAAGGAGGCTGGTAAACATTGCAAAGAGGGATTTGTATTCTTTAATAATATTCGTAAACTTAACCATGTTGTAGCCTGAGAAAGGCTAAACCATATCAAATAATACATTTATTAATTACATTATCTCATTTAGCTGTAGCTTTTATAAAATTAAAAAAAAAAACGTATTGACCAGTCGTTGGACCAGGGACCCTGCGGTTGTGAGTCAACTGCTTTCCAGCTGAGCCACAGCCGAGAGTGAGTCTACCTGAAAACACTGGATGCTATTTATTCCTATATTTATTTATTTATTCATGTTTTATTCCTACATTTATTTATGCTTTTATTTATTTATACTTATGACATGTTCCGACCTCTATATAAGTGAGGGTCTGAGCTCTCTTAATTCCAACGTTTCACCGGGCTGTAGCCTACAGGAGGGGTAATATCGGTTTTACAGCCATGGGTAATATGGTGTGTCTTCTATATTACATTCTTTATATCTCTTGAATTTGGACATTTCAATTCTTGCACCATCAGTTAGCATGGTATTCCTGTGTATCACTAGCCTGTGTCAGTCGTGTACAAATCATACTTACCTGGCAGGGGAGATACCATGATCACAAAGGTGGTTCTCCTTTGGTGAGACTCGGCCATTGCACTCCGGCCAAGCTGACCCAGATGAATTTCTCAAATGTAGAAATCTCAACTGCACTATTTGTGGTAGTGGGGGACTGCGTTCGCGCTCTCCCTTGATAATTTGTGAAAGAAAATAATTGTCCACATCATGGATGCACGATGTATCCCTCATGTGCTACCTCGTCCATAATGGTGATGGCGAGATTAAGCTTTATGAAGTTTACCAGCCAATCTAAACTATTTTTCTTTTTAATATTTACTTGCACTATATTTGTCTGTTTATCTGTATTATTGTGTTGCACTGTTGGAGAAGCCTCAGCCTGTGACCTAAGATTTTCATCGACATAACTAAAGAACCTTGAATTGGTTCGCTAAAGGGTTTATCCTTTATATATACAGTCTATGGGTTTATCTCATGAGGATTCATCATGGGCTTCATTTTAACACAAACCCCCCTGTTGGTCAAAGTGTGTAAAACAGGCAGATTTGACATCTCAACAGTGTGCTCTATCTCATACCGAGTTCCCAATGAGTAAAGCGTTAGAATAACTCTAAACAACGAACATACAATCATATTTTCACGTTAACAATATTGTATTTATTCCAGTTTAATGATTGTGATTGAAAAGCCTAAGGAGGCTGGTAAACATTGCAAAGAGGGATTTGTATTCTTTAATAATATTCGTAAACTTAACCATGTTGTAGCCTGAGAAAGGCTAAACCATATCAAATAATACATTTATTAACTACATTATCTCATTTAGCTGTAGCTTTTATAAAACATTTAAAAAAACGTATTGACTGACCAGTCGTTGGACCAGGGACCCTGCGGTTGTGAGTCATCTGCTTTCCAGCTGAGCCACAGCCCAGAGTGAGTCTACCTGAAAACACTGGATGCTATTTATTCCTATATTTATTCATTTATTTATTTATTCATGTTTTTATTCCTACATTTATTTATGCTTTTATTTTTTTATACTTATGACATGTTCCGACCTCTATATAAGTGAGGGTCTGAGCTCTCTTAATTCCATCGTGTCACCGGGCCCGGGTAGCCTACAGGAGGGGTAATATCGGTCTTACATCCATGGGTAATATGGTGTGTCTTCTATATACATTCTTTATATCTCTTGAATTTTGACATTTCAATTCTTGCACCATCAGTTAGCATGGTATTCCTGTGTATCAGTAGCCTGTGTCAGTCGTGTACAAATCATACTTACCTGGCAGGGGAGATACCATGATCACAAAGGTGGTTCTCCTTTGGTGAGGCTCGGCCATTGCACTCCGGCCAAGCTGACCCAGATGATTTTCTCAAATGTAGAAATCTCAACTGCACTATTTGTGGTAGTGGGGGACTGCGTTCGCGCTCTCCCCTGATAAATTGTGAAAGAAAATAATTGTCCACAACATGGATGTACGATGTATCCCTTAGTGATGGGAATTCCGGCTCTTCTTGGTGAGCCGGATCATTTGGCTCGGCTCACCAAGAAGAGCCGGCTCTTTCGGCTCCCAAACGGCTCTTCAGTTTACCACATATTATACCTTTTATAATTCAATCAAATGTAGCCCTGTTTTGACTAATGATTTATATGTGTACACATATCACTTAAATTATTCAATACATCCTTTGTACTGAAGTATTCAAAAGTAAAAATTACATGTTTAATATCAATTATTTGCTGTGGCCAATTGTTTTCATTGCATTTACAGACCCTTGTATCTCTCTGATACCACCCAATGAATGCACAGACTTGTTTGTAGAACCACGCTACACAAAGCAGATAGCAACACAAAAACTTAAGCATAGACATTTAAAAAAAGGGGCTACTGTATCGACATTTTAAAATTATATTTAAAGAAAGGGCCCTGACAAAACAGCAGGGCTCTATTTCAGTATTAACTATCGAAAAAAAGACAGCAACAGCTGACATCAAATCTTTGCTGAGCCCAAGGATAATCATAAATAAATAACATAGTGAAAATAAATATATTGCAATGCTCAGTACAGCAGCATCCAACCGTCTCTAATCATAAAAAAACATAATGCAAATAAATGTATTGCAATGCTCAAAACAGCAGCATCCAACAGTCTCTAATCCTTGGATATTACATGTCACTGCATGCATGCACGGAGCAGCTGTAGTGCGGAGATCATCATATCATTCTGTATTACTAAAAAAAAAAAAAAAAAAAAAAAAAAAAAAAAAAACGGCTCGTTCGCGGGCGCGAGCCGGCTCCCGTCGTTCACTCCAAAGAGCCGGCTCTTTGAGCCGGCTCGTTCGCGACCGACACATCACTAGTATCCCTCATGTGCAACCTCATCCATAATGGTGATGGCGAGATTAAGCTTTATGAAGTTTACCAGCCAATTTAAACTATTTTTCTTTTTGTATTTACTTTGTAATATTCACTTGCACTATATTTGTCTGTTTATCTGTATTATTGTGTTGCACTGTTGGAGAAGCCTCAGCCTGTGACCTAAGATTTTCATCGACATAACTAAAGAGCCTTGAATTGGTTCGCTAAAGGGTTTAACTCATGAGGCTTCATCATGGGCTTCATTTGAACACAAACCCTCCTGTTGGTCAAAGTGTGTAAAACAGGCAGATTTGACATCTCAACAGTGCTCTATCTACAGGGGCCGAGGAGGGCGGGCCATGGAACGGGCCGTCGTCAGTGGGCCGCAGGAGAGGGTCGCGTCGTGGGGACAGGCGTGAAACACCCGGAGGTCCCCAGCAGGGAGGAGCGCTGCCCGGCCGCAGGCGAAGGCACAGCGGCAGCGGGCACGAAGTCCTCGGGAGGAAGGAGCCGTGTCCCCGGGAGGAGGGAGACGTGGACAGGGGAGAGGCCAGACGGGGCGCCGTCGAGGCGAACCGTGAGCCGCGGTTAGAGGAGAGGCCAGGCAGGGTCCCGAAGCGCGCCACCCGCGGGCCGATGAAGGCACGGGTGACGTTCGAAACCGCCGAGGCGAGGGAAGAGGCGAGACGGGGTCCAGAAGCGCGTCACCCACGGGCCGAAGCAGCTGCGTGTGGCGTCCGAAACCGCCGTCGAGGTGGTGATAACAGCGAGAGGGTCCACACGAGGCCGACCAGACATGGTCGAACCTCCTCTCAGGCACCAGAAAAAGCTCAAAAATGGTCGTCCCGTCCACGAAAAAAAACAGGTGGGCGAAATAGCGAGAGGATCCACGCGAGGCCGACCAGACTTGATCGAACCTCCTCTCCGGCACCACAAAAAAAACAAAAATAAAAATAAAAAAACAGTCGGATGTCAGCCGCTAGCTGCTGTGGCTAGCCGTTGTTAGCTGTTGCCAGCTGCTAGCCGTTAGCAGTCGTGGCTAGCTGATCTCGACGGCCGTTAGTCGCAGGCCGGACATGCAGCCGCATGTCCCGAACCAACCCGGCACGGTCGCGTACCGGCCCCATGGAAGGCTTGCCGTCCCCCAGAGCCGAAAAGCCGTGGAAATGGCGAGCGTCGTCCGCGTCCATTCCGTGGGGCGCACCGAGCCACAGTCCGAGCGCACGAGGCAGCTACGGAGGTCTCCAAAAATGAGTAGTATGAAGCTGCAGCCTCGGAGGAGGGTGCACTCTCAGGACCGCATGCACTCTCAGGACCGCATGCACTCTCAGGACCCTAGTTCTTTTGCAACATCGCCACCTAGTGAGCAGGAGACATGAATATGAACGACAACGCATAGAGTGTGAGTAGTGTGAAGTGCTTTTAAAGTTTTATTTGTTTAACATTAATAACAATTCCGGTGTCTTGAAATGAAGTGTGATTAGCTAACATTAACTATGATAGTCTTAAGGCAATACAAACAAACATCTGTTAGCTTATGATAGCTTCTAACAGTATTAAAGGCACTAAAAACAATTATTTGTTAGCTATAGCTTTCGGCAAAAGCTAATGCTAATAGCATTAGCTTCATTAGCATATTTGATTGTTTGTTTAATGAAACTGTAGCGTGGTCAGTTATTATGTCGGCCTATTCTGTAGGTTAGAATCTGTCGTGTCAGAATCTAACAATTAGGCCTAATTTATGTCTGTCTGTGAAAGTATTTCAAAATGTTCAGTTTGACCAATTAGGCTCTCTCTTTTTCAAGATGCATATTTCAATCCAAGAGGGGAGATCCTTGCCCGATTTACAACGATGCACTACATGTTGCAAAGTCTATAAAGTGTCTTTACTTCTGCCTTCTCCTATCCTAGTATTATGAAGTTGATTGACTAAGCGTAAGGTCAGCTAAATTAAGGAAGGTTTTGTTGTTTTTCTGTCTGAATTGTAATTTTCTTATGACATTCTACTTCAGGTGTCGTCAACTGGAATGTCTTCTCAGAGGGACACAAAAGGGAATTTCGGAAGGAATACCAAATTTCCAGGTGCTTTTACTGCGACAACCTTTATAAGGACGTTGGCACAGGCTACCGGGGAAGTGGACGGCGAGGAGTGTTGCAGGGTTTTTACTCAGAAGAGGGCTTCCCGGGGTACTGCAGCTGGAGCTGTTGTCTGGTGGTTGAGGGAACAGCAGACCCCGCCTCACCCCAGTGAAGAATCCACAGTGCCCAATAAATAAAAATGTATTCTGCACTGAAATTCCTCTCGTCAAATTGCATGTTTATCTTTTGCAGCCTGGTGCATAAACACACTAACAGTTGTTTTTGAGTAATCTAGCACCTCTTCAAAGACACATTTGATTTGATTTATTTCGAACGTGTAATACAATAAAAAATATATATATATAATAATGAAATGAAACAAGAGAATTATGATACTGTAGAAACATAAGCAGTATCAAATTGATTCAAAGGAGTTTACACTTATTTAACCCCACCCCTTCTCCCAAAAACTAAATTAACAGTTTTCTTTTAACAAAATATACATCTAAATGTATGTCTACATACAATATACATTTACAATTATAAATAGATTATATCATTATTACTACAATATATATATATATATATATATTTATGTTGTATGTCAAATTTGATAAAGACAAATATAAAAGACTATCTTTTTACATCTGACATACAAAATACATTTGTTATTAAAAATCAAAAACATATTAACAACTTGTTGTTAATAATAATAATGTAATTTCAGTAAGAAAAACATATTTTCATGCATTTTTAGATGGTTAATAACAAGCATTACAATGTCTAAAGAGACTCGCAGTGTATGAGACTCAATACTCGCTGGTTGTACTTTTGCGGTCATCCAATCCGCTAGGTGGCGATGTTGCAAAACAACTAGGGTCCTGAGAGTGCATGCGGTCCTGAGAGTGCATGCGGTCCTGAGAGTGCACCCTCCTCCGAGGCTGCAGCTTCATACTATTGCCAAAAATCCCCGGCATCTCGAGAAAAGCTGTGCTTTTTGCCGTGTTCGATTCAGTCTCGGATCCTTCGCGAGACTTATGTCAGGGTCACCACTGTAGTGCCGAGAGAAGGGAGACGGAGGCGGTGCATCGGAGGTGCAAATCTCTCTTTATTGGGGAGCAGAAATCAACATGCTGTCGGGTCGAAGGCACAGGAGACAAGAGAAAGTGAAAGGGACACAGAGGGTGTTTCTCAATCGCGAGTACGCTTGCTTGGTAGCACATGTCTGCCGAGCATCTTGCTTCAGAAGCGAGTCAAGAACACTTCCTGGCATTCGGAAAACGAAGTGTGGAACACGCTAGCAAGTGTGCAGGTGTGCGTCATATGAGAGGCCCCGCCTTACATTTTCCGCCACAGATTTGGGGAAATTGGTCCGTGCGCAAAGCATTGTGGGGATTTTAAGACCGCGGAGTCTACTCATGTGCAGCCTCGATATTTCTCCAAACGGAGTACGCCGGGCTCGGTAGATTTCCAAGTATGCTGGAGATTGGAACAGTACTTCGGCGGCACTCGATGACGTAGTATGCTTGAAATAGTGGCTCTGAAGCAGCTTTACTCGCGATTGAGAAACACCCACACACTGTAGGTACCCCGGAGGTACCGTCAACATATATGTCCGGGCGGAAACAATACCCCCAACCTGTAGTTCCATGCGTGAATTATGTACCCTAAATAGTGGTCACTACAATACAATCATATTTTCATGTTAACAATATTGTATTCATTCCAGTTCAATGATTGTGATTGAAAAGCCTAAGGAGGCTGGTAAACATTGCAAAGAGGGATTTGTATTCCTTAATAATATTCGTAAACTTAAAGGTAGGGTAGGTAAGTTTGAGAAACCGGCTCGAGATACACTTTTTGTTATATTCCATGGAATGCTCTTAACATCCCGATAGCAATGAATATCTTAAGTGCTTTGACAAAAAATCCATTAAAAAATGTCATCTGTGGAAGCCGTAGTACTGTAAAAAAGCACGACCAATCATTTTAGCCGGCC